TAAAAGAACAACCAATAATGATAAGGTGGATTCATATATCAAAGGTAATATTGGTTCTTATTCATTTGATATATAAATATAATCATCGATTCATTTAGCTAACTTCAGTAATTTTAAAAAAGATTATTGTCACCGTGCAACGCATGGTGTCAAACACTAGTGAAAATTATAAGAGAAGGTAAAATGACTTTTAGAGAAGGATTTTGAACCAAATAATACTCTATGGGAATCGTCCCTAAATCTTTTAGAGACGCTTTTTATGTAAAACGTCTCTAAAAGTTGAATCAGAAGTTTAGCAACGTTTTTAAAACCGTCTCTAAAGGATAAAATATTTTATTTTTATTTTTAAATTAAACAAAAAGTTTTTATTACTATTTTGTACTTTTTTAAAATGTATCTTAAAGGGTTTTTATTTTTTAATTAATCAACGTTATGGGTGTCTTTGATACGTGGATCGGGTGGGACAGGACGTGACAAAAATAAATAGTGTCATGTTTGGCATGTCATGGAACAAAAATAAGGTTAGATAACATGAGACAAAAATGAGTTTTCATGAAACTATTCTTACGTTTTTTTTGTTCCACCAAAAAACGAAACAACATGGGAATAAACCTTGAGATTACAATTTTACCCTAAATCACATAAGATATAAAACCTAATTATAAACTCCATCGCCTCCCATCCTTCTTCATCGTAGCTTGATTATGGCCTCCATCTTTCACGAACTCCAAATCGATTCCACAATCCAACTTCGACGAGCTCAAACTTGATTCCAAATTCGGGTAAAATTTCTTCTCTATCTTCTATGATTGTCGATTTCTCCATACTTTCCTGCACCAAATCGATTTCACGAACTCGATTCCACAAACTCCAACTTCCACCAAATCGATTTCTCCATACTTTCCATGGTTGTCGATTTCACGAACTCCAGCTTCCACCAAATCGATTTCACAAACTCTATTCCACGAACTCGAAATCAGTTTTCGAATCGATTGGCTACTGTTGCTTTCTTTGTGATTTTGATTGGCTACTATTGTTTCGAGAGTCGATTATGTTTGTTTCATATGATTTGTAAACTATAACTGTTAACTTATGATGGAATTGAATTATTTCTTTTCGAAATCGACATGGATGTTGATGTAACACAGAATGATGGAGTTTTTCACAAGATATTATGCTCTTAATATAATATATGATAAATTTGAATAAGTAACAGAGGCAACCTGGAGGTGCTGGAACAACTACTTTGCCAAAAAAGTAGATGATTTGTTGGCCTCTCATCCCTGTTGGAAGTAGATGATTTGTTGGTGATGGTGTTGCACAATGGGSCTTGTGGTGGCTCCATGATACCTCAAAAACATCACATTAATCCTCAAAGCTGTAACTACCTTTTGGAAGTCATCTTTAGACATGGTTTTGCTAAAATACGAAGGGTCACCATCTCTGATGAACCTTGGTTATCAGCATTAGACTAGAAAGTCATTCAATAGAGAGTTTCAAAGAGGTACAAAGTTCAAGGAACTCTGTTTGAACAGCTTTGGTTTAGTGAGTGCACATCAAATACGTGGGAAAAGATGAAAGCATATAAGTAAATGAAAAGCTGAGGTAAGCCTTGGAACATCTATTAGCTAGGGAATTTCAGTGTTAATAAGTAGCATGATGACTGTGGATCAACATGTTCAACAAAGAACTCTCATATGTAATTTCTTTTTTTAAAGTACATAATGTTTATATACAGCAAATTAACAAATAAATTTCTACTCACATGTGACCTTATTATGATTATAGTGTAAAAGTAGGTTTATATTCTATTTTCAATTGTGGATACTTCTCTGCGTTGTTTCTATCTATTTGTACATTTTCTAAGGCAAGTGTATGCACAATGGTTGTGCTTGGTTTTCTGCAGGACAAAGCCTATCTCAAGAGTGAAAAAGATATGAAGTTGGGGGATCGAAAAGCAGCAGAGACTGAAAATTTGGAATATTCTGCTAACTCAGCTTATGTGAAGATTATTCTTTTGGTATTCAATGATTCTACATAGTGTGCAGATTCCAAACTCATTGGCAATACAACTATAAAGATTTATGAAATATCATCGGGTTACGGTTACCTAAGAAAGATGATGTTGCTCACAAAACTGACTTTGATGAAGAACTTACCTCTACACAGGTTATCATGAATTTGGGATACTTGGGCAATCTAACTAACTTGATTAAGTTTAGAAGAAAGAATAAGCCACCAGTTTGATACCATTTATTCTCCATTGTTAATAGATGTTTAATTGGCATGACTAGAGGCCAAGATGAAGGAAGCTTCATATTGTTGTCAATTTTTATTGGCATTGCTAGGTACAAACACTATGACTATGGGTTCTTATTATGGGAAAACATCAGAGAATATCTTGCTGTTGAAAACAACTACATTCCATATCAAAGATTCTAGCTTATGGTGATTTAGAATATCTTACAAGAGAATGATTCGATAGACAAAAGAATTGGAGAGCCTACTGCCCCGTTGTATTACTTGGATTCTCTGAGGCCATCAACTCCATATTTTGAATTTCAAAGACATAAGGTACTGAATCCAACACTAAGAACTTATGTTGATTACAGTGAGATTTTAATTAAATATTGTGCTTAAATGGGTTTATCTACAAGACTACACCTATAAACCCAACTCAAAAAGACCAACCAGAGAGAAAGAGAGGTGATGGGTCTAGTCATAAGGGAGYGGGGGAGGAAACTCAATTACTTGAGCAACCTCATAGTGATGAGAGGGAAAACGAAATAGAGAKAGGTGAGGGGTCTAGTCATAGGGAAGTGGGGGGAGGAAACTCAATTACTTGAGCAACCTCAAAGTGATGACAGTGGGTCAACATGTTCAACAAAGAACTCTCATATGTAATTCCTTTTTTGAAGTACTTTTTTTAAATTTATGTTATTGTGAAAAGTAATTTATATGTGACCTGATGGTCAATCCTGATAGAGTTTGTTAACTATGGAATGTGTACCATATATGCTTGTTAACAGATCGGATAGAGAATTCTTATACGAGATCCTGAGTGAGGTTATCAAAGCAGGTGCAATGACTATTGACAGCTGATACCGTTGGCTATTGTTTGCCTCGTGAGTTTGGACAACTCGTTGCTGACATAAAAGCCAACACTCTTGGCATTGAGAATGTCGTTTGTGCTATCCATTGCCAATAATGATCTAGGACTGGCTGTTGTCAATACTATAGAGGTATATACAATAGTTATTTTTTTAGTTTGCCTATGATCAACTATAGTATGCTGACGTTTGTGGAAGATTCTAGGGGATTTCTTCAGGTGCAACACAAGTAGATGTAACAATAAACAGAATCGAAGAGAGAGAGAGAGATGGTAATGCTTCTTTGGAAGAGGTGAGTATTATGCTTCAGTTCTTGTAGATAATAATCACTTGAAGATGGTGCATGATTATGTTTGACATTTGTATCAAAAGATTGAAAAGGGTGGTTTTTCCTTTACTTGTTTTTGAACTCCATTATCTAATCTTTATCATGAATATATTGATGGATGTCTCTCATGACTGTTTGAAGAACATATATATATATATATATATATATATATATATATATATAGGTGGTAATGACTATGAAATGCAAAGGAGAGTTATTAGGTGTTAATGACTGTTGGTGCTAATGCTTTTTCCCATGAAAGTGGCATCCAGCTATTTGTTGTATCATTTATTTATCTTCCAATAATTTTAAATCGTTTCCCTTATGTTTAAGTTATTTTGTTTGTCTTTTTATGTGGTTTTCAAATGACATAGGAGACTGTTTTGAGTGATATGAAGAATTTGGATGCGATTGGTAAGACCCAGCCGTGTAACAATGCTACTCCAACCACTACCCGTAAAAGACAGTTCCAAGTTTTTCATCTTCATTAACTGTTCAAGACCAACGTTGGAGACTCAAGATCGTTAAACATGCTATGATTGTTTTTTTGTTGATAAATTTAGACGATATATGAACTAGTTGAATATTAAATTTGGATGGTTCTTATATATATTAAATTGT